CGGAGCCCGGGCGGGGCGCGGGGCGCTGGAGGCGCCGCCGGTGCCGGGTCCCCGGAGTTTTCATTCCTCCGGTCCGGCGAGGCCCGGCGGCCCTCGGAGGACCCTCCCGGCTGGTTCCAAACAGAAACCTGTGATGATCCGGGAAGCAGAGAACGGTGCTTCACAGCTACTCACTGGGCGCGGAGGTACCTGAGACGCGATGATTTCTTTCTGGGCTTGGACACTGTCCTTGAGCTCTCACCACGTGAGCCGCAGCACCACTTCTGGCTTTTCCCGTTGATGTGGTGCTGAGGAATCGAACCCAGGGCTTCATGCATGCTAGTCCAGCACTCTAACACTGAGCCTCCTTCCCAGCCCCAGACAGGATAGTTTCAGGCTTACGGACAGCCTGAGCTATGTAGTGAAGATCTTATCTCAAAAACAAAAATAAGCCAGGCACTGGTGGCTCACGCCTGTAATCCAAGATACTCAGGAGGCTGAGATCTGAGGGTCAGGGTTCAAAGCCAGCCCGGCAGGAAAGGTCCTGCGGTGAGATTCTTATCTCCAATAAACCACCAGAAAATCGGAAGTGGCGCTGTGGCTCAAGTGGTAGAGCGCTAGCCTTAAGCTGAAGAGCTGAGGGACAGCACCCAGGCCCAGAGTTCAGGCCCCACGAACGGACCAAAAAAAACCCAAAAACCCTATTAGCCTAGTATGAGCCTAGCACACAAGTTGTAGCAGGGTATCAAATTGGAGGCAAGGCTAAGCCACATGATGAGATCTCAAAAACACAAGGGCTGAGGGGCTGGGCATGTGGCTTGGTAGACTGCTTGCCTGGCGTGCATGAAGCCCTGGGTTCCATTCCTTAATACCACATACACAGAGAAAGCTGGAAGCGGTGCTGTGGCTCAAATGGTAGAGCGCTAGCCTTGAACAGAAGCAGCTCAGGGACAGTGCCCAGGCCCTGAGTTCAAGCCCAGGACTGGCACAAAAAAGAACAAGTGAAAACCAAGGGTTGTTGGTGCATGTCGGAGAGAGGGTACCTGCCTGGTGTGCACAATGCCCTTGACTCAAACCCCAGCATGAGGGAGGGGGACAGTAAGGCAAATGTCTGACCTACTGACCTGGAGTGTAGATGTTTGTTTTGAGCGAGGTGATTGTGTGTGTTTGGGCATTGTCAGTGAGTTTTTTTTTTTTTTTTTGTCGGTGGTGGGGCTTAACTCTGGGCTTGGGCACTGTCCCTCAGCTCCTCAGCTCAAGGCAAGCGCTCTACCGCTTGAGCCACAGCATCACCACTTCCAATTTTCTAGTGGTTTATTGGAGATAAGAGTCTCACACTTTATTATGGCATTGAATCGCAATCCTCAGATCTCAGCCTCCTGAGCAGCTAGGATTACAGGTGTGAGCCACCTGCGCCTGGCTCAGTGAGTTTTTTTTTTTTTTGTGCAAGGCTAGTGTTCGACCATTTGAGTCACAGCTCTGCTTCCTGATTATTGGTGGTTAATTGGAGATAAGAGTCTCATGGAGCCCTTGGCCCCAGAAAAGGCCCAGGGGGAGACTGGGGTGCTCAGACCTCAGCTTCCAGAGTAGCTAGGACTATAGAGATGAACCAGGAGCTCCCAGTCCAGGTGATTATTATTTTTAACTGAAATGTGTAGTCTTACTGAGTCTGAGATCTGAGGGTCACGGTGGTTCAAAGCAATCCAGGCAGGAAAGTCTGTGAGACTCTTCTCACCAATTATTAAAAAAAACTCTTAGAAGTGGAGCTGAGACTCAGTACAGCACCAGTCTTGAGCAAACAGGCTTAGGAACAGTGCCCAGGCCCTGCGTTCAAGCTCAGGACAGGCACGCATGCAGGCACACATGCATACACAAAAACAACTTTAGCATGTTAACATCCAGGCCTGCCTCAGGTGAGTTAGACCAGTCTTGGGACGGGCAGAGATTCAGAAGCTTTGGTCTGGCCAAGCCTGGATGGGCAGCCCGCCACCCATTACAGGCCGGTCCTGGGGTCCCGCTGTGACCAGGCCCCTCCTTTGCAGACTTTCTCTGGAGGCTATGTGCATGTGCTGAAAGGCGTGCTCTCCGAGGAGCTCCTCATTAGAAGCTTCCAGAAGATGGGCTACGTGCGCCGGGACCACCACCGCCTGACGGTGGCTGCTCTGCCTCCTGCCTGCCAGCTGGTGCAGGTGGCGCTGGGCTGCTTTGCGCTTCGGCTGGAGTGTGAGATCCTGGGTGAGGTGCTGGCGCAGCTGGGCACCAGCGTGCTGCCAGCAGAAGAACTGCTGCAGGCGCGGCGGGCCAGTGGGGATGTGGCCTCCTGTGTGGCCTGGCTGCAGCAGCGTTTGGCCCAAGATGAGGAGCCACCACCCCTGCCCCCCCGGGGCGCCTCTGCATTCGGGGTCCCGTTAGACCTGTACAGGGACCTGCAGGGTGACGAGGGCCTGGAGGAAGCCAGCCTGTATGAAGAGCCCTCCCCAGGGCCAGACTCGCCTCCTGTGGAACTGAGCTATAGGCCACCACTCTGGGAGCAGAGTGCCAAACTATGGGGGTCCGGGGGCCGGTCCTGGGAGCCCCCAGCTGAGGACCTGCCTCAGGCTAGCAGCTCACCCTATGGGGCCCTAGAGGAGGAGCTGGAGCCTGAGCCCTCTGCCTTTTCCTTTTTGTCCCTGCGCCGAGAGCTGAGTCGGCCTGAGGACCTGGCTGTTGCGGAGGTCCCTGGGAGCCCTGGGCAGGCCAGCCCCCGGCACAGCCAAGTAGGGGAAGCACTAGCTTCCGCCTACGGGCCTGTCCCTGAGCCCCTGGCCTACCAAGCACACAGCTGTCTGGCTCCTGGAGCCCTGCCCACCCTCTGCTGTGACACCTGCCACCAGCTACACGCTGCGCACTGTGCGGCCCTGCCAGCTTGCCGTCCAGGCCACTCGCTGCGAGTCCTGCTGGGAGACACGCAGCGGCGCCTGTGGCTGCAGCGGGCACAGATGGACACCCTGCTGTATGACAGCCCCGGGCCGCACCCCTAAGCCCACCTGCGCCCCAGGTCCCATGGGTGCAGGAGAGTTTCCATGGTGCTTCTCTTGGGGAGTGGCCTTCTGTCCCCAGGGGAGTCCAGGCTCTACCCACTGGGAGGGGCAGAGCCCTCAACAAGTCACTCCAGTCTGAGGTCGCAGCCTTAGCTAGCAGCAGGTCCTAAGCCAGACTAACAAGGACCTTCCCAGAAGTCTTTGTCCTCATGCCCAGAGGTGCTCAGTAGCGGGCCAAACCTGTTCCAAAGAGGACCCCCCCCTTCCCTTTAGAAGTCTGCCAACAGCCTGTGGCTCAGGACGTAGCCCCACGTGCCTGGGGTCCTCCAGGCCTGCGTCACCGTAGCTGTAGAGGTCTGCTGGCTGAGGAAAGGACTGATTCTCAGTACCCGGCTGCCTCACTAAGGAAGCTCAGAGTCCTGCAGCCATCTCACGGGTTGACTGTCCCTGATGGGGCCATGCAGCTGCTGCCAGGCAGCACAACAGACACACACACGGGGAGCCGGGGACAGCTACTGTTCTGCATGACTCTCAGCTCAGCTTGCGCTGTGTCCCTGCCCCAATCCCTCTCCCCGGCCCACTCACTGCCATGTTGCATAGCACATTAAAAGACAATTTGAGACCTTGTCAGAGATGCTTTTATTTCTTCCCCTGAGGTGGGAGCCTGCTGCCTCTCCTGGGCAGCAGGGCTATTCCAGGGCCTATTGAGGCCCGCCAGGCCTGGTCCCTCCTCTTCACCAGGGGCACACTAGGAGTTACCATCACCTATGCCCTGGGTGGCCTGTGAGATCCGGTGTGAGTGGTGTGATGATCTGAGGCTTGCTTCCAAGGCCTGTGCCCAGCTTCGTTTCCAAGACTCCACTCCGTTGGGCCAGCAGTTTCTGCCCTGCTCTTGCCAGATGGCCCCTCCTTGTGCGCGGGCCTGCAGTCCCTGTCAGCCTGGCTCGGAGGGGAGCTGCCTGTCCACTGCTGACGCACGGTCTGGGGAGGGCATGTCGTCCAGTCTCAGGGCTTGCCTCGCCTACTCTGGCCCTCAGCTGTGGCAGGAGCAGCCCGCTTATTGCGGTGGTGTGGGAAGGTGGGCATGAGTTCCGGCTCACAGGCTGTAGGATACACAGGTGCTGGCTGGAGATGGGTTCCCAGGTATACCCGGCTGCAGGTCATGATCCAGAATTGCCCCCCTCCCCCCCAGGGATGCTCAGTTCTGTCCTCCCCACAGGCACAGCTGTGCACTAGGAGCCCTTTTGGCACAAACAAAAAGGGCCACTGGCAAAGCTCCCCAAGTGCAGGGCCCAAGACAGTCTGGGGAACTCACGTAGAGGCTTCTCCTTGAAGTAGGAGCTCTCCAAGCAGTCTGCTGCTGTTGCCCTGTAGAAAGACACCTAGTAGCCGGGCACTGGTGGCTCACGCCTGTAATCCTAGCTACTCAGGAGGCTGAGATCTGAGGATCACGGTTCAAAGCCAGCCCGGGCAGGAGAGACCGTGA